ATTATTATTTAATAGTTTATTTCCATATTCAAACATAAGGGAACACTGCTTAAGGGTAATCAGCCAGCAGTTTATAAACAAATCAAGTCTAAAAACTGAAAAATAAGCTCTGTGATTACTTAAATATTTAGCTTAGCAAATCATCTCGTGCAATCAGGGTTTGTTTAGAATAACTACAGACAAAAAGTTTAAGTCTATTATCTGTATTTAATTGGCATCGGCAACTAAAATTCCACCTCAAAGCCTTTATTAGCCCCCTGACAGCCTAAGCCATAAACTCTGCAGTCCCCATGCAAGCCGAGAAACTCCATCTCCACGGTTTCCTAAAGCATCCAAATATCCTGCAGCTTCTACGGTGTTTGACAGCCGCGCGTTTTTGGTACGGCACCTTGTCCTGCGGCCCAGAGACCACCACCACGCTGAGTAACGGGCAGCAGGATTACAGATAAGAGGTGGAGGGAAGGGAAAGGAAACGCGTTAGGAGGAGATCTCCTTTTCCAGCCTCCCGGTGCGGGTCCAGGCTGTGCTCCCCAGGGAACTGGGAGGACTGGTGGCCCCGACCTCAGTGGGAAGAGACCTCTACATGCTCCGAGCTCCCGTGCAGGTCGAACCATGAAGCCAGACCTCCCAGGAGACACCGGTGTAAACACCCAAATTGAGAGTCAACACCTTGGCCAAAACAAACATAAAGCAAAACAAAAAAGTATTGCATAAACTCTTCCGTGTTAAATATTTAACTCGCAATCAACTGTTTGCTCAGCCGTTCTTTTATCAAATGCGCTCATACAGATCTCCTCGGAGACGCTGAGATCCGAGTAAGGCTTAAAAAAATCTAGTTCTTTTGGTTGTTGTCATTCTTAATCACAGATATCTATAAAATTATTAGTCCAAGCTACTACTGGGAATAGAAAACTCTAAATTAGCTAAATCAATCAGCCCCGTGCAATCGGGAAAGGGAGAGAAGCAATTGTTGAAGAATCAATTTATTGGCTATTAAAGACACGCTTAAAATTAACTGCATCACAGAATATAGTACCCATTTATCTATTTCTATTCTGCAGAATATCAGCAGACTCCTGGTTCCATCTGGGTTATGGACTCCATTATTCCCATCTGCTAAGTCATTCCAAACAGACCCGGTGATCCGGCAGCCCCAGAGATTATGGGATTAAAGGGGTATCTCAAATAATCTGAAAACTGGGAGAGGTCAGAGGTACACTAATAAAATATCAAGCCGATCCTTCAGAATGAATTGTACGGTAGTGGATCCTACTGTCGAACAACCAAGTGCCAGAAAACTCACTTTGACAACTCTGAGGGATCCTAAGAGATGTTTGTAATCCGCAACTTTCAGAGCTAACGACTGATTTTTGTCAGCCTCTTCCACGGGTAAAAAAGCATGCCCTCTCTTCAGATGTAATTACTGAATATTTCACATCTTTGTAAATGCAACATTTCCTATTTGCTACAATTTCTTAATAGTGCATGAACTCGCATTAGCAGATTTGAAAACTAATGGATATAATGGCTGTTGTGTTTATGTATTTAGTTTTTTGGTAAACTCATTAACTTATGAGACCTTTATGGAAGATTTCCTTCCAGTAGTTCTGCATTAATGAAAGCAGAGAGTTTCTGGTTTTGACAATGGCTTTTACAACATCTTTTAGCCGTGTCTAAAGTTAATGTCTGTCCAATTGCAGGCTAATGGACTAGGTCTGTATCTTATACAGCACTTCATTATTCACTAAAACATTCCAAAATTCCACCCTAGACAGACAGACAGAGAGATGGATGGATGGATTTCCTACCACCACCGTCTTTGGAAGCGGTGGACCGGTGGGGCTCCGTATGCAGAACGTCTCTCAAATAGGGGCATAACTGCCCCCGGCAAACGTTACAGTAATTAAAAGACCGCCCAAACCAGCCAGTACAGGATACTAATATTCCCCACGAAGCACCGCTCACTCCTTATTTGGGGTTTCAACTGGAACAAAAAATTCCTGACATTCATATGTAGTTAATTTATCTCCCCCCGACTCGGCGTCATTTTTCCCCTTTTTGCCTTCTCCTGCAGACTTTGCCCTACGTCTCGCAGATCCAGATAGAAACTTCCCCTTCCAAATTGTCTGCTGCTCACTCGCTCCTACCTGCACCTGACAACTTGGAGAGAAAAAGGCAAACTAGACAGACCCCAAAATACTTGTTACTTGTTTGCAAGTTACTGGGACCAAGGTGTAAAATCTGAAAAAACCCCCACGTAATTAAGTAATGACAGTTGTGCATGAGATTTTTTGAAAGCAGTTTGCTAACCCAGGAGTCCAACCTCGCAGTATAGACTGCCACGCACATTTGTGTGTCTTGGAAATATTACTATTACTTTTAAAAAACCATAAACATTTGGGTTTCCATTGAAAATCATTTCCCCATTAGGTTTTCTTAAATTAAAACTAAATACAGGCTAGTCACAAGGACTCACTCACTTGTGCCACTGAGTTGACTTTATAAAACATACCCTAATGCGGCGCTTAACTCTTCAAGAGTTTCCCATTTTTTACTTAATAGACAAAAGAATTTTAATTAAAAATGCATTTCAAATACCACACCTGAAAGTCCCTTTACTCATTTTACATTGTACTCTGAGCGCCTCCGCGGGTACGCGGGTGTTTAAACAGGAGATACATGCAGAATACTTGGATTAAGTGGGAATTTGGTAATTCAGTAAATCTCAGCATTCGGGAGAAATTTGTGCGAGAGGAGAGTAAAACCAAAAACTTCAAATGAGGTGTAAAAACGCGGTCTTAACTACCCAGTTACTGCAGATCCCGCATGATCCGCACAGGGAGCGAGCTCTTGGGGTTTTTTCGCTCTGTGCTGCGTTAAGCAGTTGGCATCTTCTCATCCTTGAGGAGGTGCTTGTCTTTCAATCGCAGATTAAGTCATTTCTGTGAATCATCACAGGTTTTTTGCGGGTTTTTTTTTTTCTTTTAGTGCTTTAGTATCCTTTGGGATAAGAAGCTCTATTATAAAGGCGTATTACTGCTTCTAGTTGTTGTTTTGCATTTGATTAATTGATGCACTGCTGACTTCTTCCACAAACTTCAATAGTTCAGAAATTTCTTCCGTGCAGCAGTACCAACTGCTAATAATAATTAATCTATACCCAGGTTTTAGGTTTAGCTATGAAGTACATTTTTTACAAAATCCAAATGACGACACCTCTAACGACCAATTAATTTCTCGCAGAGTACATTACACAGAAGAAACACGTTTCATAAGCAAGCGCACCAGAATCACAGACTGGTCAGGGTTGGAAGGGACCTCTGGAGATCATCTAGTCCAACCCCCCTGCCAGAGCAGGGTCACTACAACAGGTTGCACAGGACAGCGTCCAGGCGGGTTTTGAATGTCTCCAGAGTGGGAGCCTCCCCCACCTCTCTGGGCAGCCTGTGCCAGTGCTCCACTACCCTCAAAGTAAAGAAGTTCGTCCTCAGGTTAAGATGGAACTTCCTATGTTCAAGTTTATGCCCATTACCCCTCGTCCTATCACTGGGCACCACTGAAAAAAGACTGCTCCCATCCCCCTGGCACCCTCCCATTAAGTATTTGTATGTTTTAATAAGATCCCCCCTCAATCTTCTTTTCTCTAGACTAAAGAGACCCAAGTCCCTCAGCCTTTCCTCATATGAGAGATATTCCAGTCCCCTCAGCATCTCCGTAGCCCTTTGCTGGACCCTCTCCAGCAGTTCCCTGTCCTTCTTGACCCGGAGTGCCCCGAACTGGACACAGTACTCCAGATGTGGCCTCCCCAGGGCAGAGCAGAGGGGGAAGACAACCTCCCTCCACCTGCTGGCCACACTCTTCTTGATGCACCCCAGGATGCCATTCGCCTTCTTG